AAATATATCAGAAGTTTTTCAGAATGAAGTTGGCAGCATTCTGTGAGCCGGACTCGTTGAAACTATACGCGCAACCTTTCGCAGAGTTTGATGATTGCCACAGATCCTTCAAGTTTGCAATCTGATTTTTTTGGAGTCCCAAAATTTGTTGTTTTTGACAGGTCAGAACCGTAGGTTGAATCAGATCGCGTCCAAAAGCGAATGCTCCAAGTCTTCTGCCCCATTTTGCAGACGAGCGGCTATCGTCATCCTAGGTCACCGCTTGCTGACATTGCGGTGCTGTCGATATCTACTTGCGAAATTTTAAATCTGTTTTTATTCCTAAACAAATAAAGAAGTCAGCCAATTAATGGTAGCTACTCTGCACAGACACGTGATACTGTTGCGTTAGATTAAGTACATGACTAATCTCCTTAGACTGTAGAAACGTGGATTGTCTACATGCTTACATGCTCTTCGTTTTCACATAGACTTGTAGACAGGACATGTTTCCTAGCGGGGTAACATTTTTTGCCATCCATCTTTGTGTGGACGAGAGTCGTCCAGACTGGTCTTTGAAGTCATCATAATCAGCACTTTACCATAAAATTCTCTAGTTCCTATACATCTTGATACTGCTTCTTCTTCAACTTCTAAAAGTCTTTTTATGGGCTGTTTATTCCCTGTTAGAACTCAGTTTAATGTCTTTGGTTCAGCGATGGTCGGTTCTTCTTGCTGTGTGTCTTGGGTATTCATGGACTAGTCATGAAGTAATTTAACTCATAATGCTGAGGTTTTGCATCAGATTGGTCTTTCTTCTATCTGCGGCACTGCCATGCAATCTAGACGATTTCAGTTTTTCGTCCAGATTGTACTGTGCCACCTCTGCGCATTGTTCCCTTATGAAATTAATTCAACTCAGTGACGTAAGTCGTTCGTTCTCTATATGGTCTCGTTCTTCGGTCAAACCGGTGGTTCGAGAAGCACAAAATCCGGTCAAGTATGCATTCCTGATATATTTTGCCCTCCCAGTGATGAGAGACACTCCTTTCGTTGACGCAACGACATATTCATCACGTGCTGTATTCAGCGGCGGACTGTCCCCAATCCGAAGATTGTCATCGGGCCACCGCGTTGACAAGATATATGTTGAAGCTCTGATGTAATTGTTTGAATTCATGTTTCTTC